TCCTCGCCCACGAGCTCTGTGTTGCTCGTGCCGCCACGAAACTTCGTCTGGACGTGTGCTAGTGTTCTGGCCCTCGTACGGCATGCTCGCGGCAATATTCGGAGCGATCAGAGCGGCGCAATGACCGTCCGCGCGCGGGATACGGGCGCTCCGCAAGGCGCCCATGCGCGCGCACCCCAGATGGCTCCGATTGACGAGATTTGCTGCAGAGAAATATATCTCGGGTACGCGACATCATTTATGGATGTATCCTTTGCCGTATCCACAATTTAGAATGGGTTTGCGGAGGAATACGAGGTCGGGGAGCATGCAAAGTGCTGCCCATCCATCTATTCCTCCCTAAGCCCATTCTCTTCTGGCTACTCTGCCAGAGCGTGCTCCCCCGGTGTGATAAATATGTAAGAGCAAATTCCCTATTGAAAGGGATGTGTCAGTGAGTAATTGAGAATTTTGCGCCCATTCCAAGGGCCTGGGTCCATCAGTCTAAGCAGCCCACCCTCAGACCTTAGTTCACACAATATTCACATCTGATCCGCTCTCTAAATTTTAAGTCGCCGTCCCTGACATTATGACGGCTCCCTGGACTCGCTTACACTCACAGACGCTTACTGCCTGATTTACACAGGCTCCAGACTGCTCACACTACCTAGGGTACAGTACAGGTCTAGACTACATCCCCCCTCGTTCCCCCCATCCCTCGGCCGTGCGCGCCGCCATCCCAGCGTCCAGAGAAATCTATGGAGCGCACTGAGACCGCCGGAGCAATTTCCCGGACGGCCTCAGCATTCTGGTGGGTGCTCTCCTCCTGGTACCCACTCCCACACTGTCACCGCCCTCCCGACGGCGTCGGGTGTGGGGACAGCTTCTGACCGCAGTCAGTGCGCGACCGGGCGGCCTATCCCACTCTGGAATAGTCCGCCGCCCGCGTCGCGCACTGTGCAACCCTGCAGCGGCTGTGGCGGCAGCAGGGTACCCTTCTGGTGTTCCGCCCACCTCGTGCACGCCTCGGCTGTCCTGGGGCGCGCGCGAGGTCCGCTAACCGTGGCCTGCATGCGCGGGAGTCTTCGTGACCGCTGCGCATGTCCCTGGGCGTGCAACGGGGAGGCAGACGACCGCCTGCCTGCCCGGTGCCCACCCGGGGTGCCTCTCTTTCCCATCCCCTCGATCCACTCACCTTCGCGTTCCTGGCGACATGGAAGACACACCCTACTCTCCTGTGCATCGTGCACCCGTCGCGCCGCGCTGCAAGCCTCGCAATTGGCGAGAGTGGCCCCAGGGGGGCCACAGGACAACGGTGAGTACTCCGAGCTTGTAGTGTGCCAGGAAACACTCACCCATCGTTCTCGACACGCCCATACTCACGGGGCATGTGCCCACGCCCTGTGAGGCGCGTCGCTGCACTCGCGGAAGCCTCGCGAGTGTTTTTGCGACGTGTTCGCGGAGGGCACCGTGTCCCGCGCAGGGCATGCGCGGCGGTGTCCTTCGCGCCGAGTTGTAGACGTCTGCTGCGACGCGAATACATTCCATTCAAGCCAGCATGGCATGGCCTGAGATGAGTGCTTTGCTCGTCCCGAAATATCATTGTATTGCTCACAATCTCAGTCCCAGACATGCCCCAGGTCAACACTTTCCCCCGACCACACACCATCCCCCATCGCTCGTCTCATCCCATTCTCCACTGCCCTGCATTCCCCCGACCCTCCGGTGCAACCACGTCGCTCGCGCGGCCGCAGCCACGTCTCAATGGGCCCTCATTCCGAGCGATCTGTCGCCCATCCCCCGCCGCGAACACCCCTCCCGCCCCTCGACGCGCCGCGATACGAAGCCCGCGTGGTGCTCGAAACACGTCGAAACGAGCAGTCGACTCGTCCTCCACTCGTACGTCCCGCCGCGCGCCCGTACGACCCCTCGACGGCGCCCTCGAAGACCCTCCTCGCGCCGATGCACGTGTGCGCGCAGTAGCGCTCTAGGTACGTCCACGCCCTCGACGACGCTCGCAAACACGGATCCTGACATGACATACACTCCCCAGACGCGCCTGCCGCCCTTCGTCGCCGCCACGGCCACGGGTCGTCCTCCTGGCGCAGGGCCATCTCCATCCCGACGTCTCCGGCCCCGCTATCGAAGTCCTGTGCGCGCCGACGCGGTCCGCGCCCGTCCGACTTGGTTTCCTCGCGCCCTGGAGGCCCTGGACGGAGGCGTCGAGGCGCACCGCGATGCGCACGCGTACGAGTGCGCACGCGGCCGTGCAAGGCGGCGGGAGGCCCGGTTCGCGACGTCCAATGCATGCGGCGGATTCGCCGCGTTCTGCGAAGGTTTGGGCGCGAAGAGAAGGGATCTGCATCGACGTCAGTTTCCGGCTGTTCTCGCGGCAAGCGGATGCAGACTTACCTGTTGTGGATGTGTGCAGCTTCGCGAGGGCGTCCAGGCACCATCGAGGCAGGATGACGAGCACTGCGGGAGGAGACGTGAGCACGGGGCAAGGGCAGGACATGGGAAACGGACCTGCTTGGTGTCGACGAGGTGCACGGCTCGCTCGTATCGCCGCGGCCGCGCGAGTCTTGACATCCTTTCCCACCCGCGGAGACCGGCCTTCTCGAGCGCTCTGTCCGCGCAGAGGAAGCCTTCGATACACGACTCGGGGCGCCGATGCTTCGTGTGCCGCCGCGGTCTTGTCGTCCGGGGACGGGTGGGTGCGCGGGAGCGCTTCGCAGCTTCGCGAGATCTGCGAAATTGACGTGAGCACGGAGTCTTCGC